TAGAATTAAGCTACCAGTTCAACTAATAAAATACTATTTTTCTTAATGTTTATTTTTACTTGCCACTGGTTGATTTACAGAACCTGCAATAACAAGGATGTATAAGTTCATCCTGAGCATTCTCATCAAAGAAGCAACATGGATCAGGTTTTTTTCTGATTCTACGTCCACGTTTTGGAGGTTCAGGGGTCAATTTTACATCACCATCAGGGTCTGCCATACTATTTTCAAATGCAAGCCGGAGCTTAAACCGCTGAACTTCACAGCGGCCTGTAGCTGACACGTGAACAACTCAACGCGTGCACAAAAACACAGGCTCTATCAAGCCTGGACGTGCATACGTCCCCTCCCATCCGTTCCAAACATGCCTGCGCAGATGGATAATGGCATGTCATTGAGTCATGTGCTTAGAACATGTCTGGACATGCATACATCCCCTCCTATCCATCGCAAGCACGCCTGCGCATGCCCAGAATCATGGCTCGGACATGTCTAGACATATCAATAAGGAGTATCACTGTTGAATACTTGCTGCTTGGTTGGCTGCTGCTTGTGTGAGTATTTGGCTCCTCTGTTAAATTTTCCTGGCTTTGCTGGGGGGGCAGGGGAGGATGGAAATAAAATTTTATTAAGGTCATGCTTCAAAATATTTATGTGTACGTGTGTACTTGTGTCATCGGTTAAATTTGCAAACGTGTGTGTGTGTGTGTGCACACACATGCATGTTTATTTCAGGTTAAAATTTGCAAGCTATGTGTCTTTAGCTTTTAAAAATGGTAAAGCTGTCCATGATTTTCACTTCCCTTAGGATACGGGTTGGGGGTTAGGGTTAGTTAATCACTCTGGGGCTGCTATGGTTTAAAAAGCTCTTTTTCCAGCATTCGAGGGGGTGATTTTAAAATTGCATAGAAATAAAGCCTCTTTAGGATCTCCTTTTCCTGCATTCAAGGTGCTGATTTTAAAACTCCATAAAATTAAAAGCATCAGTAGGCTATTATTTATTTCACGAGGCCGAAATAGGGTTTGCTTCCCAAATACAGCGCAGCCTAGGGTTCTGTTAATTATGCACCTGATGTGATG